GGTGTGACAGGTGTGACAGGTGTGACAGGTGTGGACAGGTGTGACAGGTGTGACAGGTGTGGCAGGTGTGACAGGTGTGGCAGGTGTGGACAGGTGGCAGGTGTGGCAGGTGTGACAGGTGTGGCAGGTGTGGCAGGTGTGACAGGTGTGACAGGTGTGACAGGTGTGGCAGGTGTGACAGGTGTGACAGGTGTGTGTGCAGGTGTGGCAGGTGTGACAGGTGTGGCAGGTGTGGGTGGGTGGCAGGTGTGTGACAGGTGTGACAGGTGTGACAGGTGTGACAGGTGTGTGACAGGTGTGGCAGGTGTGACAGGTGTGACAGGTGTGACAGGTGTGGCAGGTGTGACAGGTGTGACAGGTGTGACAGGTGTGACAGGTGTGACAGGTGTGTGACAGGTGTGACAGGTGTGCAGGTGTGACAGGTGTGGCAGTGTGTGACAGGTGTGACAGTGTGGTGGCAGGTGTGACAGGTGTGACAGGTGTGTGACAGGTGTGGCAGGTGTGACAGGTGTGACAGGTGTGGACAGGTGGGCGGGGTTTCCATGCTGGATTCCCATTGGTTCATTTATGTTTGAATCAGAACCAAAGAAAACGACACCAAACAAAAGTGAAAAAGACGCAACAAAAATAAAATGTTTCCAAAGAAGCAAAGACAGAAATTTTTATACAATTACACAAATAATTTGCACTGACTGCAGATTTAATTATTTTGATTTGATTTGATTTTTTTAAATCTGGTATTTTGATTTATACTTTTTGTCTTTGAATGTTTTGACTCTAAATTGCTTTTGTAAAGTTCCAGGTTTTTAAAGTTTGAAATAAAATTCCACACAAACTTTTCATTCTCGTTTGTCTTTATTAAATATTTACACCAAAGATCAGACTTTTTTCAACCGTCCACGATCCCCAAAACTCGTCCACGTCTGGAGCGGCGCCGCCCGCTGGACGCCTCCCGAAGTGCAATTTTTTTCAAACGTAAGTAACAAGTTTATTTGATTTTATTTTCAGGACAAAAGCGCAAAGAGTCGAGTGGAAGTGCACGAGGAAACAGCAGCAAAGCTCCAGAAACATGATCCAAAAAAGAAAAACATGATCCAAAAAAGAAAAACATGATCCAAAACACTAAAGAAACAAACGGAAACGAGGATTTGAACTCGATCCATGTGTCGTTCGTTCATTGGTTTTTCAAAATAAAAAACTAAGATTTTCTTCATTATTTGTCTCCAAAACCAAAATGAAAAAAAAAAAAAAACAGATAATGATTCAATTTTTCAGTTTTCGATTTTATGTTTAAATGAAAAATGGAAAAAACAGATAACGGACTGAACCAGGACTGAACTGGTCTCAATCCCAGTCTGGTCCCGGTCTGGTCCTGGTCTAAGTCTCAGTCTCAATCCCAGTCCTGGTCTCAGTCCTAAACCAGGAAAAAAACCAGGACTGAACCAGGACAGAACCAGTCTTGATCCGAGTCTGGTCCCGGTCTAGTCCTGGTCTCAGTCCTGAGTGTTGGGACGAGCCTGGAGGTGGCCCACTTACACTGTCGGGTGATCAGGTCTCAGACCGGACCGGGACTCGGACCGGGACTCGGACCGGGACCAGGACTGAGACTGGTTCAGTTCTGGTTCAGTCCATTATCAGTTTTTTTCCATTTTTCATTTAAACACATAAAATCGAAAACTGAAAAATCGAATCATTATCTGTTTTTTTCATTTTAGTTTTGGAGCCAAATAATGAAGAAAATCATTGTTTGTTTTTTTTCATTTTCTTTGTTTTAATTTTGAAAAACGACCGAACGACACACGGATTAAACTCGAGGAAAACGGTTCCGGCTGATCCACGAGCTCAGAGTTCAGATGTTTTAAAGAGTTGACGTTAAGTCGAGAGTTTGATTCCCACTTGAGGCGTCACGTTCTGCTGCTGTTGTGCCCTTGAGCAAGACACTTCCCTCAAGTTGTACCAAAACCTCAAACATCTGAGGGACTTTTCCTGTTCCAAAGTGAAACTGAAGCTCTGAGAAACGTCCGAGCGTCGAGGAGCAGCTCGAACCAGAGTCACGTCTCCAAACACTGAACAAACACAAAAACACAAAAAACACTGAACCAAAACCTGAACCAAACTGGGTCCGTGGTCCAGTTTGGGCAGACGTCTCCTCCCTCAGACTCCGGGTCCCGAGTTTCACCAGATCCACGTTTAGATTCACGTTTCGGTCTCAACGTTCGACCGAAACCACGAAAAATCTGACGAAACTGAAGCCGTAAACATTGTAAAAGCTGCAGGACTTTCACTTTCAGATTTAAAGCAACAGTACGTCACTTTCTGTTCCTCCAGACCGAGCAGGAGTCGGGTTTGTGGAGATGCGAGCTCACGGGAAAGACGCGGGGTTTTCAGTGCAATAAAGACGACCAAAACTAAAAACGACGACGACGACAACAACAACGTCATGCTTCTTACAGAAAAATAGAGTCTGTTTTTGGTCTGAAAAGTGACGCACTGAAGCTTTAACTTCACTTTGGTTCCTGCAGTTTGGGAAAAGAACATTCAGGTTTAATGGAAATTCCTGGAAGTTTAAACACGAGGTGTTTTGTTTACTTCACTTTAGTTTTTGACGATTTGTTTTGAGTCACTGCAGAAAAATTTGGCCAAAATTTAAGACATAAACATTTAAATCGATCAGAAAATGAATTAAAAGTAAAGAAACGATCATAAGTTTAAAATAAAACCAAAAATAAGAAAATGAAACAACAATTTTCTTCATTATTTGTCTCCAAAACCAAAATTTTAAAAATGGATAAAGATTTATTTATTTTTTTTTCAGTTTTTGATTTTGTGTTTAAATGAAAAATGGAAAAAATGTAAAACAGACCTGGACCTGGACCTGGTTTAGTCCTGGTTTAGAGAGGAACCAGACCGGGACCAGACCAGGATCAGAACGTGATTGAGGCCGAGAGCAGAATGGGACCAGATCAGGACTGAGACCAGAACCAGACCAGGATTGAACATGGTCCCAGCCTGGTCCTGGCCTCAGTCCCAACCTCAGTCCTGGTCTGGTCCCGGTTCTGGTTTAGTTCTGGTTTAGTCCTGGTTCAGTCCTGGTTTAGTCCTGGTTTAGTTCTGGTTCAGTCCTTTATCCATTTTTTTTCCATTTTTCATTTAAACACAAAATCGAAAACTGAAAAAAAATCGAATCATTATCTGTTTTTTTCATTTTAGTTTTGGAGACAAATAATGAAGAAAATCGTAGTTTTTTTTTTCTTTTTGTTTTCTTATTTTTGGTTTTATTTTGAAAAACGACTGAACGAACGACACATGGATTCGACTTATGTTTTTTTTTTCTTCTTCATTATGAATTTTTTTCTTCTATTCCAGAAAATCCAGTTTGGTTTGAGTCTCGGGTCTGAGACGCTTCGATTATTTGAATTAAACTAAAATGATCTTTTGCATGAACAGATATTTTCTCTACTTTTAAATCATTTTGTGACAGATTCAAGTGTTTATATTTGAGTCTTTTTGCTCGTGTCTCAGCAGGAGCCTCGTCTCCAAACCTGCTGCAGGTGATTCTATTTTTATCGGTGTAATTGCAGAATCTTCGGACGGGTTTTATTTTTAGAATCGTCGTCGGCCTCTTCAGCCGCGGGAGCGTGAGGAGACGTACGGCCGCAACATTTACAGGCCGGGAAACGACGAGGCCGAGGGAAAAAACCCCGAGAAAAAAAAAAAAACAAACATCTGAAACGAAAACGAGACGAAAACAGAAACAAACGACACAAAAATCACAAAGAAAAAACAGTTTTTATCTCTACACCAAAAAACTAAGACGAGGTTTGGATTTGAAGGAGGAACCGGTTTAGATCTGAGGTTAAACCGGTCCTGATCCAGTCCTGGTTTAGTCTTGTTTTTTATTTAGTCCTGGTCCGGTCCTGGTCCCGTTCTGGTTTAGTCCTGATCTAGTCCTGGTCTAGTCCTGGTTTAGTCCTGATCTAGTCCTGGTCTAGTCCTGGTTAGTCGGGTTTATTCTGTATTTAGTCCAGGTTTATTTCTGGTCTAGTCTTGGTTTAGTCTGTTTATATTTATTTAGTCCTGGTCCAGTCCTGGTCTCGTTCTGGTTTAGTCCAAATCTAGTCCTGATACAGTCCTGGTCTAGATCAAGTTTAGTCCTGGTTTTGTTCTCCTGGCCTAGTCTCATTTCAGTTCTAGTCCAGTCCTGGTTTATTTCTCATCTAGTCCTGGTCTAGTCCTGGTCTAGTCCTGGTCTAGTCCTGGTCTAGTCCTGGTCTAGTCCTGGTCTAGTCCTGGTCGTGGACTTGTGGACTTGTTAAGTCCCGATGTCGTCTTCAGACCAGGTTTAGTCCCTGGTCTTCGTTTGGTCTCAGAGTCAGACCGGAGGTTCTAGTCTCTGGTCTGGACCTGGTTTAGTCCACAGTAGAGTCCAGTCTTAGTCCAGTTTAAATCCTGGTTCAGTCCAAGTTTATTCCAGCGTCGACATTTAGTCCAGTTCTGGTTTAGTCTCGTTTGTCTGGAAACTCAGTTCAGCAGAAAATAAAAAATAAAACCCACAGAAAGTCACAATTATGAGTTTTAAAGTCAGAATTGAGTCTTTTAAACTAATTCTGACGTTTAAACTCATAATTGTGACTTTCTGTGAGGCTTTTATTTTTTATTTACTGGTGGAAATGGGGGCTTCTGTACTTATCAAGGTGCAACAAGATTCACTGGTCCTGGTCTGGTCCTGGTCTGGTCTGGTCTGGTCCTGGTCTGGTCTGGTCTGGTCTGGTCTGGTCTGGTCCTGGTCCTGGTCTTGGTCTGGTCCTGGTCCTGGTCTGGTCCTGGTCTGGTCCTGGTCCTGGTCCTGGTCCTGGTCCTGGTCCTGGTCCTGGTCTGGTCCTGGTCCTGGTCCTGGTCCTGGTCCTGGTCTGGTCTGGTCTGGTCCTGGTCTGGTCTGGTCTGGTCTGGTCTGGTCCTGGTCCTGGTCTGGTCCTGGTCCTGGTCCTGGTCTCTCCTGGTCTGGTCCTGGTCTAGTCCTGGTCTGGTCCTTCCTTTTTGCTCAGAACCACAAACTTGAGCCAAATCGAAAACTTCAAAATAAACTTGGCAAAAATCATAAAAACAAAAACATTTAAAAACAGAAAAGTGTCGAGGTCGTTTCAACTTGAACTCAAATTTTCACTTAAGAAAAACAAAAAACAACAAACCAGACGAGAAAAAGTGAAAAAGTGAAAAGAGCGGCCGAGGTCGGACAGTTTAACGGTTTTTCAACGGAACTGAAGTCTAGAATATTCCACAGTGCAGCATTAAACATGTTTTACGCAGCGCAATTTCAACACTGCAGTTTAGTCCAGGTTTAGTCCAGGTTTAGTCCTGGTTTAGTCCTGGTTTAGACCTGGTTTAGTCCTGGTTTAGTCCTGGTTTAGTCCTGGTTTAGTCCTGGTTTAGTCCTGGTTTAGTCCTGTTTTAGTCCCGGTTTAGACTCGATACATTCAGAGTTTCTCGTCTCTTCCTGTAGTTGGCGCTAAATCGACCTTCAGTGTTTTTATTTTTGTGTCCGACATCGAGCCACAAACGGAAAATCACCACAAACTTTAATAAACATTTAAACTTTGTAAATAAATCTGAACGTCCCCAAACTCCAAAACGTCCAAACGTCGTAAAAAGTGCAGAAAATGGACGATATGTTTTTTTCAGATAAAGTTTCATTTTTTTGTTTTTTTCCAGTCGTTTGATGCCGCAGAGGACGTTAGCCACGTTAGCCACGTTAGCATAGCATAGCAGCCACTTGTAGATTTGATTCTTTTGATTTTTTATTTTCTTTGTTTGTTTTGAAGCCACAATAAAACAGCCGTCAGACAAACGTGCAGCAGAACAAAGGGCCACGTCCCTCGGGAAAAACGAAAATTAAAAAAACTGGAGCCACTTCAGCAAAAGACGAACTCCGCCCGGCGACAGACGACATCACCACGTCCGACAGCCAATCAGAGACGACACAGACGGGACGTGTAGAATAAAGTGAATATTGTTCTAACGCAGACGGTTTTTTATCGTAAACTCTCTAAACACGTGGAGCGAGTGATGAAACAATAATCGAAGTATCGTGATATCGTATCGTTAAAAGTCTCACAATAATATCTTAGCCCGTCACAACAAGTCGAATCTCAAGTCTCTTTGCTTAAATTCTTCTGTTTGAATTCTGGCTCAAACGTCCCCCTGGTGTGAAAGTCCCGGCTCGAACGTCCCCTTCCTGCCTCCAGGTGCGTCACTTCTCACCGCTTCAATCTGATGTATCGAGTTAGAAAATCTGCTTCTATATCAGAATAAAATCAAATGTTCCAGACTAAACGTCGGGTCTCGTTTGTGTCATTTTACTGATTTTCCTGAAACACATTTTTTCACTCTGTAACATCAAAATAATCACAGACATTTACTCTGAAATCATATTTTAAATCAAGTTTCTTGTTCCTCATGTCCTGCTGCGTCTGTAACTGTGGATTTGGGAAGAAATCTGAATTATTTCCTTTCCTGTCATGAACATCATTTGTAAACAGCGCGACACAAGAAACTTATAAAACTACAGAATTTGTCCAAAAATAATTCAGAATCATTTTTAGAAGCTCTGATCTGTGGATTTCACTGAAATATGTGACACATTTATTGAGAAGGCAGACGTCCCTCACCTGTCGACTGTTCCTCTGGAGTCATTTAACACAATATTTACTGCATGTTTTGTTTGTTTGTCTGAACAAATGTGTTGAGATTTATTCTAACTTGCCTGAGTAATTAATAAAATATATATATCATGAAAAAATGTAGTTTTTAAAATGTATATGTACAGTGTATAGATTAACTTATAAAGGGGACGAATCAGAGGGACTTTCCAGCCTGAGGGACTTTCCAGCTGATTCCCATTTTGGTGCAGCAACGGCTAAAAAACAGTGAGAACTACACAGACCATGATCCTTTGCTCTGGTTCGGTCCAAACTACAAACTCAAATATCTGTTATGATGCACTTTTTTTCATTTTTTGGATGACGAGAGAAAAGCAGCAACTCACAGTGTTGTATTATTATTATTTTTATCTGAGTAAATATCGTACCGTGAGAATATCGTATCGAGAGATTTGGATATCGTTACATCTCTAATGAGTCTTCGTAACCAAAGCTTGAATTTAAACCACAAGCGACTCCCCCCCTCACGCTCACTTCCTGTTTGGAACGATAACTCCGTCTGTGGGTTAAACCCTGGTCCAGTCCTGGTTCTAATCTGGTTTAGTTTGTTTTTGAGGCCATATTTAATCACTGTTTTGTGTAGTTTTTGTCCCGAAACAAAACCATGCTCATAAAAACTGACTAAATTACAAAAAATATTCTGCAGATTTCGTGATGTGGATGTGGTTCGGCTTCGGTCTCGTGCTGAAGTGGCTCGACATTTTAACTCCTCCTCCTCTTCTTTGTCTTTCTTCCTGCGTGTGGGCGTCAGTGCAGCGCCTCCACGCAGATCTGCTCCTCGCTGATGCCGTCGTCCAGCAGCTGTACCTCCATCGGGCTGCAGGTGTCGCTGTCGTACACCTCCGCCCCCATCAGCCCCTCCTCCTCCAGGCCCTTCCCTTTAAACGCCGGGTTTTCGTTGGGCGACGTGCTCTCCACCGACTCCAAGTCCTCGATGCCGGCGCGGTAGTGGATCATGAGCAGCGTCAGCGCCTGCAGCCGCTCGCCGGACTTGGCCAGAGCGCCGGCGATCAGAGCTTTGCGTCGCGCGTCCGCCGCCTCGCGCTCCTCCATCAGCAGACTGTTGTTGTGCTCCAGCTCCTGGTCGATCTCCTGCTGAAGTTTGTCCAACATCAGCTCCAGTTTCTGCGACCGCTCGTCCGTCGGTAAACCTCGGTACAAATCGCGCCCGATCTCCTTCACGGCGATGAACACGCTGTCGTCCAACCCGCCGTCTTTGCGCACCAGCTTGGCCCCGCCCCCTGCGCCGTGCGGTTGCTTGGAGGGACTGGCGCCGCTGGTGTACGTCTCCGTGTCGCTGCTCTCGTTGTCGGACGTGTTTGGCGTTTGTTTTGGCGAGGGTTCGGGTGCGGCGTCGACGACCTGCTCCACCAGCCGCGTCTTGGGCACCTGGCGCAGGTTGAGGAGGCGCGAGCTCGTGTTGATGATGTGTCGCGTCAGCCCCGTCGTGGCGCGGTTTATGGTGGACTTCGCTTCGGGGTCGGCGCCCTTCCGCTCCGTCGCCGCGACGCAAAACGGGTTCTCGGCGAGGCACTTGTCCTGGCATTTCTTGTGGCAGACGTAGGCGCAGACCATGCACTGAGACGCCGCCTTCGTCCACACCTTCTTCTTGCAGTACTCGCACCACGTCGGGTTTTGGAACTGCGTGTCTTGAAAGTTGTGGCGTACCTCGACCAGCTGCATCGCGCCGTACGCCAGCTCGTCTCTCTGCGTTACCGTTTGCGTCAGCGCCTCCTTCTCTCGCTCCCTCAGCTCTTCTTCGTGGATACTTCCTTCGCGCTCTCGCTCCATCGACGCGGCAACGGGGAAATCCGCTTCGCCTTCGGATAAGTAGCAGAAGTTGAGTGTGACGTCGCCGTAGCATAACTTCTCGTTGAATCCCTTGTGCGAGCTCAGACTTCGTAGCGCCGTCCGGCTCACGTTGGCGCGCGGCTCTGGAGGACCTAACCTGAACGTGCTCTGGTACTCGGACGACGACGTGGCCATACATTCAAACGCGATGTGCTCCAGCTGTAAACTAACGTGACCCAGACACAGCAGGCTGCCGAGTTTAAACGGATCTTTGCACCACAGCGCGACGTTTAGAAACTTGTGATTCGCTTCGACATCGAAAACGACGTTAGCTTTTGGCCAGCATCCTGATTGGTTTTTGTACAAAGTTTCGACTGATTCCCAAAGCGTGTGATCGTCTAAACTGTCCCTCGTGCTACAGGAACCTTCGGACATCTTCTCCTTCGCTTGCTCCGCTTTGCTGTTCGCCGCCGCTGACGCCAACTCCTCGCTCGTTATCTTAGCGTCTCCTTGTTTCGAGCCGCTTTTTTCCGCCTGCATGTCGCCGGCTCCGCTGAACGGCGCTTTCTCCGGGGAGCGCTCCAAAGAGCTGAGCGTGGAGCTGGAGGTGGAGGTGGTCAGCGTCGCCGTCGCGTTGGCGTCCGTGTTCTCAATGAGGCTGGTTTCCGACGACGCGGAGGTGAGTCGGATCTGCGGGCGCGGCGGGACAGGAGGGCGCGCGGGGACGGGCGGAGGGGGGACACTCGGACGGTGCGCGGTTTCCGAACTTGAATCGGCGTTCGTTTTATGTGGAGACGGTTTCGGAGATTCTTTCGGCTGCAGTTTGAGCGGCGACTGGAGTCCGACTAAGTTCAGCTTCCGGTTCAAAATGGGAGAAATCGTCCCGAGAGGTTTTGACGCTAAAGTCGCGACGCTACGTTTGGGGCTTTGGTTAACGGTCAGCAAAGAGTCATCCTTAGATTCTGCAGTCGCGTTTCCAGTTTGAGACGTCGGTTTAGCGTCGACGATCAGCTCCTCGAACTCTGAGTCCATGTCTTTAACGTCGGAGATGTCGGAGAGTGTGGTGATGGGCGCGGGGTCCTCCTCGTAACCAGACGGCGGTGGGATGAAGCCGGGGTCCTCTAAATGTGCATAGTTTTCCGTCAGCGTTCCCATGTTTCCGAGGGGCGCGTTTTGGTGTCGCACCGGTCGCTCGTACAGGACGATGACCCGATCTCCGGCCTGTTTCAGGAGCTTCGGAACCTGCACCGATGACGTGACTTTAACTCCTGAAACAAACAAGAGAAACAGTTGGAAGTGAAAAGTTCAGAAACAAAAGAGAAGAAAAGCGAAGTGTAACTGTCAGGATCAACAGGGTCACACGACACGAGCCGAAAAGCGTCGTACCTCCGATGGCGATGAGGCGGTCTCCTCGCTGCAGGTCGGCGAGCGCGGCCGGAGAGTTTGGCGTCACCGTCTCGATGCTCACGTGAACCATGTCGCCGTCTGTGGCCGGGACGTGTCTGAAGGTCATCCCCACGCTGCCGCACGCGCCCTTCACCACCTCCGTCTGAAAAACACGCCAACACCGACACTTTAGACACTCGAGCGAAAGACGAGCTGCGGACAGAAGTGTGCGGAGAGTTTGTGCTGCAAAAAGTTTGGTTTGTGCTGTTTTAGTTTTGGAGATATTTACAGGTCAAACTGGGGTCAGCAGCTCCAGGAAACTTCAGAATGAAATAAAACGACACAAAATGGAGTCAGTCGTCTGCGTTTCATTTGTGTTGTAAAAGTTCAGTTTGTGTGATTCTGCTTCTTGAAATATGAACAGTTTTATTTTGTGAAACAGCAGAAAATTAAACCAAACGTTTGTATTTGGTTTGTGCTGTTTATTCCTAAAATTATTTCTGTGTAAATTATATTTTGTTCATTTCCGTTCAGGTGACGACAGCGACTTTAATAAAACTCCACAAAACGACTGAAGAGAAACGAGCTGAAGTCGCCCGGACACTGTGCCATTTTTGGCTCTTTTTGGACCAATTTTTCACTCGACTGTTTTTGGGATTAACTTTCGTCTTAATCGTGTCGAGCTTCGTGTAGTAAACATGGAGGAAAGAGAACTGATGAATCGCTCCTGACCGGCTCCTGATCGGCTCCTGATCGGCTCCTGATCGGCTCCTGATCGGCTCCTGATCGGCTCCTGATTGACGATCGTAGGTCACAAGAAAATCAAACCTGTTTGAATCCATGTTGTTAGGTTCTTTTTTCAGACCAAGAGTTTGTTTTCATATTTGACAGTTTCTTCCTCAGAGTGAAACTGTCAAATATGAAAACAAAGTCTTGGTCTGAAAAAATAATCTCATAACACAAATCATCAAAAGACCAAATGAACCTCATTGGACTGAATCCCGTCGCCTCTTGAAAACCTGAAAACATCACGACGCCATGTTGGGTTCAGCTTCAGGTTTGATCAGAGTTTCAGAGTCGTGTGTTTGGAGGCGGCGGCGGCGAGAGAGACGTGTGTGTTTATGTACAGACTGTGTGTTTACAGAGACTTCACCTGTACATGTGTGTGTGTTTCAGGTGTGTGTGTGTTTCAGGTGTGTGTGTGTGTGTGTGTGTGTGTGTGTGTGTGTTCAGGTGTGTGTGTGTGTGTTTCAGTGTGTGTGTGTGTGTGTGTGTGTGTGTGTGTGTTTCAGGTGTGTGTGTGTGTGTGTGTGTGTGTGTGTTCAGTCAGAGACACAGGAAGTGCAGATGCAGATGTCCTTATAAGGGCGGTGACAGTGCTCATTGACACACACTGTAATTACTCCCACAGAATCTGACGCCTTAATGACACATGTCCTCTTCTCCTCCTCTCCTCCTCTCCTCTCCTCTCCTCCTCTCCTCTCTCTCTCCTCTCTCCTCTCTCTCCTCCTCTCTCTCCTCTCCTCCTCTCTCCTCCTCTCCTCTCCTCCTCTCTCCTCCTCTCCTCTCCTCCTCTCTCCTCTCTCCTCCTCTCCTCCTCTCTCTCCTCTCCTCTCCTCCTCTTCCTCCTCTCTCTCCTCTCTCTCTCTCTCCTCTCCTCTCCTCCTCTCTCTCCTCCTCTCCTCTCTCCTCTCTCTCCTCTCTCCTCTCTCTCTCTCTCTCTCCTCCTCTCTCCTCTCTCTCCTCTCCTCTCCTCTCCTCCTCTCTCTCCTCTCCTCCTCTCTCCTCCTCTCCTCTCCTCCTCCTCCTCTCTCTCTCCTCCTCTCCTCTCTCTCCTCTCTCTCCTCCTCTCCTCTCTCTCCTCCTCCTCTCCTCCTCTCTCCCTCTCTCTCTCTCTCTCCTCTCTTTTCTCTCTCTCCATCTTCTACCTTGTCTCTCTCTCTTCTTCCTCCTTCTCTCCGTCTCTATCCCTCCTCACGACCCTCTTCTTCTCGTCTCGTCCTCTCTTTGTCTCTCTCCTCCTTTTCTCTCTCTCTCTTCCTTCCTCCTTCGGTCCCTACACCCCTCCTCCCTTCATCCCTCTCTCTCCCTTTCTCCTTCTTCCCCCCTTTCTCTCCTGGTTTCTCTTCTTATCTCTCTCATTTCACCTCATCTCTCTCTTCTTTCTCTTCATCTCTCCTCCCCCTCGTTCTTTCGTTCTTTCTTTCTTCTCACCTGTCGAATAGAAAACGTCTCTTCGTCCTCGTCAAACATTTTATTGTCACTTCGTCATAATTAACTCAGACTAAATTTAGCTCCACAGGGAACAACAAACAAACAGACGAGAAGAGTAAAGAACACTGCGGAACATCACACAGAACAGAACAGAGTGAGAGGAGCAGAGGACGACACTGTTATTCTGAGAGATTTTTGTGCAGAATGTGAGGTTCTGGAGCCCAGTCAAAGGGGATTTCGATACTGAGGAAAAGACTCGGTTCTTGAAACCGATTCTGATCCCACGAAGAAAATAAAATCCTCGTTGTTTAGAAACGTTTCAGCGTTTGAGGCACGAGGCTCAGGTTGTGTTTGTGGAGTTAATCTGAGGTGAGAGATCGAAACAGGAAGCAGCAGGTTAAAGAGAAACGCTCTAAATGAGTTTTGAATTGACGTATCGACTGAAAACACAAACGTTTAAATTACAGCTCAGTGTTTCTGGAGACGGACGAGGAAACAGACCAGAGGTTTACAGTCGTTTTTATGTCTTACACATCAGTCTGTTTTATTTTTGTTACTTATTTTGAATGAATTATTACCATTTATATTTTGTCTCTTTGTTAATATAAGATCTTGAAGGTTGAACGTTCATATTTTGGTTGAACTGAGCTTCTCTGTGTTTCTGATGATGATCGACCTGTGAGTTCGTTCGTTCCACATTTCTTTATTTTTCCAGGTGAAAACTTGGATAAACACAACGTAAAAAGCCTGAAATATTTAGCGGAAAAACATTTAATCTAAGAACAACACGAGCTCCAGCGTCACATCACCACGTCAACAAAACAGAACAAAACACTTGGCTCCTGCAGAGTCCTGCACCTGTCGAGTCCCTGACAGGTGCAGGGTCAACAGTTGGTGAAACAGGCGGGTTTTAACGTTCTAGAATATTAAAGGTGGGTATGTGGGCAGGACTAAACCGGTCACACGACGGTCTACATGGGGCCCACAAGCCCGTCCTGATAGAGAGTCCTGGTTCAGTCCTGTTTTAGTCCTGGTTCAGTCCTGGTTCAGTCCTGTTTTAGTCCTGGTTCAGTCCTGGTCCTTCAGTCCTGGTTTAGTCCTGGTTCAGTCCTGGTTTAGTCCTGTTTAGTCCTGGTTCAGTCCTGGTTCAGTCCTGGTTAGTCCTGGTTTCAGTCCTGGTTTAGTCCTGGTTCAGTCCTGGTTTCAGTCCTGGTTTAGTCCTGGTTTAGTCCTGGTTTAGTCCTGGTTTCAGTCCTGGTCAGTCCTGGTTCAGTCCTGGTTTAGTCCTGGTTCAGTCCTGGTTTAGTCCTGGTTCAGTCCTGGTTCAGTCCTGGTTCAGTCCTGGTTTAGTCCTGGTTCAGTCCTGGTTCAGTCCTGGTTCAGTCCTGGTTCAGTCTGGTTTAGTCCTGGTTTAGACCTGGTTCAGTCCCTGGTTCAGTCCTGTTTAGTCCTGTCCTGGTTCAGTCCTGGTTTAGTCCTGGTTCAGTCCTGGTTCAGTCCTGGTTCAGTCCTGGTTCAGTCCTGGTTTAGTCCTGGTTCAGTCCTGGTTCAGTCCTGGTTTAGTCCTGGTTTAGTCCTGGTTTAGTCCTGGTTTAGTCCTGGTTTCAGTCCTGGTTCAGTCCTGGTTCAGTCCTGGTTCAGTCCTGGTTTAGTCCTGGTTTAGTCCTGGTTTCAGTCCTGGTTAGTCCTGGTTTAGTCCTGGTTCAGTCCTGGTTCAGTCCTGGTTTAGTCCTGGTTTAGTCCTGGTTCAGTCCTGGTTTAGTCCTGGTTTAGTCCTGGTTTAGTCCTGGTTCAGTCCTGGTTTCAGTCCAGTCCTGGTTCAGTCCTGGTTCAGTCCTGGTTCAGTCCTGGTTTAGTCCTGTTCAGTCCTGGTTTAGTCCTGGTTTAGTCCTGGTTCAGTCCTGGTTTCAGTCCTGGTTTCAGTCCTGGTTCAGTCCTGTTTAGTCCTGGTTTAGTCCTGGTTTAGTCCTGGTTCAGTCCTGGTTCAGTCCTGGTTCAGTCCTGGTTCAGTCCTGGTTTCAGTCCTGGTTTAGTCCTGGTTTAGTCCTGGTTCAGTCCTGGTTTCAGTCCTGGTTTAGTCCTGGTTCAGTCCTGGTTTCAGTCCTGGTTTAGTCTTGGTTCAGTCCTGGTTTAGTCCTGGTTCAGTCCTGGTTAGTCCTGGTTCAGTCCTGGTTCAGTCCTGGTTCAGTCCTGGTTTGTTGGTTAGTCCTGGTTCAGTCCTGGTTCAGTCCTGGTTTCAGTCCTGGTTCAGTCCTGGTTCAGTCCTGGTTCAGTCCGTGGTGTGTTTCTTCTGTCTGTGAGTTTGTGTTCGTTCTGAAGAAAGTGAAACAGTTTCATTTCATTTCGTGATTATAATTCTTAAAGTTGTAACTTTTCAGTTCATATTCTGATCTTAGAATGTTTTTAATCTGTGTGTGGTTCATGTCGGGCTCGGGCAGGTCCTGTACTGGGCGGGTGTGGTCCTGTACTGGGCGGGTGCGGTCCTGTACTGGGCGGGTGCGGTCCTGTACTGGGCGGGTGCGGTCCTGTACGGGTAAGGTGTGTCTGTTGTGGTCCTGCTGTGTGGTCTGTACTGGGCGGGTGCGGTCCTGTACTGGGCGGGTGTGGTCCTGTACTGGCGGGTGTGGTCCTGTATGTACTGGGCGGTCCTGTGGGCGGGTGGTCCTGTACTGTACTGGGCGGTGCGGTCCTGTACGGGGCGGTCCTGTACTGGGCGGGTGTGGTCCTGTACTGGGCGGGTGTGGTCCTGTACTGGGCGGGTGTGGTCCTGTACTGGGCGGGTGCTGGTCTCCAAAAACAGACCAGTGCAGGACTCTGGTCTCCTGCAGAAAGACTCTGTGTCCTGTCAGAGTCTCGTAGAATTTCAGCAGATTTCAGAGTCTCCTGGGGGCGGGGATAGGTGCGTCTGTCTCGGGGGCAGGGATAGGTGTCTCTCCCTGCGGGGGAGGG